GATTCAGAACATACAGCATAGCAGTTGTGTTTGAAAACATCCTTTTAACTTGTTTGCTCTTCAGCCATAGATATCTAAAGTGACAGAGGCTTCAAATTCCTCCTCAGCCCTTCACACCTTCAGCATGGCACACATAGAACTGATACTGTTCTGAAATTCACTGTGGTAACATGATAGGGCTGCTGCTAGAGTCGGAGGCAACCCGCTCTGGAAGTCTCCTGTGTGTTCCAGTCTCAGCGGCTCCTTTGGATGGCACTGGGCATACTTGCTTGGAGTGTTACCATTCTAATCAGCAGTCAAAGCAAAAAGTGCACCAAAGCTGAATCAGGCTATGAACTTTTCTTAGCCTACAATGTAGGTGACAGCTAAACAAAGGACTTCACAAGGTACAGATGCTAAGAAAAGCACCCAGTTTGGAGTCTTCTCTGCTGTCTGCACTGCTGCCAGCCCTAGACAGTGCCCCTGAGTGCACTTTTCCCCTTTCGGCTCCTAGGTCAAGTCAGGAGCAGGAAGGGACAGAGAATTCCAAACACTGGTGTACTTCCTACAGCTACATCCCCTCTCTCTTTTTCTTCTTTCCGCCCTGCTTCTCCAGGGTACAGTTTATGAGACTTCAGATGCTGAGTTAAAAATACAGTAGATTTTTGTGGCTCCCCACTGTAATGCTGTACAGTGAAAAACCTGCGTTTTCCCCTTGGCTGTAGAAGGGAGAGTAGTTCTGAAAAGTCAAGTTTAGGCTTTAAGATGCACATAGGTATTTTTTCCCATATGTTTTGAATTGCTCAACTGAAAGCAGAGGAGAGAATTTAAAAACAAACCCAAACTCTGACAACCCAATCTGCAGTCTGGCCTCACAGGAGCTCAGTACACCTGAGCTCACTACACACCTGGCCATGCCCTAGCCTCACTGGCTTCTATCAGATCCTTGAGTGTGCCTTGATCCTCCTGCCAATGGATCTTTGCATAGGTGCTCAATACTCGAAAACTCTTCTCTATCTTTCCTCAACCACTGCCCTCTTCTCCTCTGCCTAGTTAACTTTTCTAGGTCCTTTTTATCTCATTTCAAACTTGGCTTCATCCAGTCATATTCCCTAACCTCTGTGTCTAGGCCAATTCCCTACTGAAAGCATTAACCCTTCAAGCACTTCCAGCTGTTACTTTGCATTTTTATTTTTTATTTTTTTAAATTAGCATTTGTCTCCCCAACTAAACCGTAAGCTCAATGATGGCAGATTCTTGTTCCCTTTAGGTCCCCATTATTCCTTCAGCACACCCTGTTGGGGCTCATCATACAGAGGATGCTTAATAACTATTAGATGACTTATTCAATAAGTGAGTGAATAAATTATTTCTTTTTAAAATGAATTTATTTATTTCTTATTTTCAACTTAGTGTCTTTCATATTTTTCTCCAAGTTATTAGGTAGCTTGAAGTCATCTGATAAAGAAGGCCACTCTGTAGTTTTAACTCAATAAGTACAAAGGATCATACAGCTCGTCTAGGACACTGAAGAAAGGAAGGAAGTCAATAACCAAGTGTCCCTTTATTTTTCTCCCAGGACTTTAGGAAAAAAGGGGAAATTGAGGATCAATGGTCCCTGTAATTGATTGGCCATACCTGATACTTTAATTTTAGGATAATTTCCCAAACAGATCACAGTGATTTTATTTGATAAAGTAGAATTCATTATAATCTCTAGATGGACTTTCAGTCTCTAAATGTTTTAAGGGTGTCATCATTTTATAAAAAAAAAATCAACACTCCCTGGCCTTCGTGCTCATTAGTAAATAAATATCAAGTTTGAATTTTTGTTTAATTTTATATGCAAGTGAAATTACTTTTTAAAAGGATTTATCTGGAATCATGGGAATTCTGAGATCATTTACCAAAATTAGACTCTGCTGGAGATTGGGGTAGGAGATAGCCTGAGAACTTTGTGGAATTCGTTGTTTGATGAGCAGTAACATGAATGATAAGGTGATTTTAAAAAGTGGCAGACAGTTTGACTCACTTAGAAAGCAGCCAGAAAAATCATTAAATGGTTATTGATTTCAGAAAAGAAGGTTGTATTTTAACATTTTTTTAAATATTTTATTTTTATGTCTTTGGTACTAGGCACACTCTACCACTGAACTATACCCCTAACCTCTAAACTACATTTTAACAAACTGTTTTATACCTTGAAATGATTTCTTCTCCCCCAATTTTGTGTAGTTTGTTTTGCTAATGAGATGTAAAAAAAGATACGAAGAACAACCAAGTGCTTATAAAATTAAAATGTAGACTAATGAATATCTTTTCTTGAACTAAATTGAAAGTAGCCAACTATCTCTCACTCTGAGATCACATTAGAGAATCACTTGTGAGGACACTGGATACCCAGGAGACTTAAAGTACTGGAGTGCCAGAGCCCACAATTTATTTTGAAAAGCTTTTGACTCTTGGAAAGGGTTCAGGTAGATTACATGGGAGTACTCTGCTGATTCTGTAGAAAGTCAAGGTCAAACTAACTAGTACTTGAAAACATTTAAAAGCTATTGAGAATGATATCTAATTATGTCTAGTGCTTAGACTTTGCTTCATCCTAACTTTATATTTTGATTAAAATATTTTAAGTTCTAGGGTTTTTTTTAACATCCCTTTTTAAGAGAAATTTATTATGAAGAGCAAGACCATTTTATATTTCTTTTGTCTCAGTTAATCTGGTTGTGGGAAATTTAGCCTTTCACACCACAGGTTTACTCACATTACAGCATAATACCTTACAAGGAAATAAACTGCCTGTGGAGAGTGTGTTGGCACCCATGTTAGGAAGGTGAGAAATTCAGATGCTCCATAGAGTGGATCCCAAAGGCACTTTGTCCTCCAACGTTCAGGCTGTTTGGACCTCTTGGGCTGGAACTATGAGAAATGGTGAGAAAACACCTGACCCTAAGAGGAATGTATCACTGGTTAGCACTGGATGGGAGGCCTGATTTCTCCAGAGCTGACAGGATGAGTTCCCACAGGACAGCATACACAGCAGCCACAGTAGCAGGACAGGTGGGAAGTACAGCAGGTTCTGCAGGGTCAGAATGCTGGTGCCTGGCCTCTCTTTTTGCTTGCATGATCAGTAACTAATCCTTAACTTATACCACAGTGGGTAGCAAGACAAAACTCGAAATAAACTTCAAAATCAGTGAGTCTAATTCACTTAGATTTGAAAGGTACAAAACCCAAGGCTCATAAAATGTAAATAAAATATCCTTCCCAGTATTTCTATATTTATGATTAAATGTGATTGTGGGGCTTGATAACACTTCAGACCAAAGAAAAATCTAATGTGATGACCTGAGTCTGGAAGGACTAATGCATGTTAAATATGCATGTTAATTATGCATGCTTTCAGCTCCCAGCCTGGAAGAGTTCCCAAGGACACATACAGGCGGCAGCAGCCCTCCTGGAAGTGGCTGCCTAATCTGAGTTCCCTTTGCACTGGGATAAACAAACATTTGCAAATGGGAGTTCACTGTTGGGGCTACTGAGATTTAAAAGCACCTTTTGGGAGGTGCAGGTTGTCCCAGGAAATGAGAGCTACTTGACAGTGAACAAAGTAGGCATTGAGCATGCATTTTTAAATTAAATCTTGAAAAAGAATATTTTCTAGGAATAGTTCACTGTAGATAAGAAAAATGACTTGGATCCAGATACAATTCCTTTAAGGACCCATCTTGCTGAATGGCTGTTTGGTGTGCTAGGATGCACACTCTCGTGTCACAGTGCAGGCTCTTCATCTCTATATTTTATGTAACACAATTTCTACAGAAAAGAGAAAATCCTGATTGGAAAGGGGTGCAGTAGAGGATAGTATTGAAAGATGTCAGTGGGAAATCTACAGTAATCCCTCCAGTAAGTCCAGAGACCCATCACGACAGCCTCGTTCCAGGGCTCACATTAATATTTCCACTGAATATGACATTTACAGCCTGCATGGCAAAGGGATCCAGTTCACTCGCTCTCCAGTCTCCACCCTGGAGGAGAGTGTGATGTCCTGGTCCCAAAGGCCTCCCTCAAGGAACTCTCAGCATTTCTCAAGCTGCTCCTTCTTCAGGGAACCCACAAAGCACAGACAGTGCTTTAGTTCAAAATAGAAGAACATCTTATTCTGGATTGTACACCTAAACCCTCTCTCTCCATAGATGGTAGGTTTCTCACTTCTCTTTCTCTTCCTTTGTTAGTTATGCAAATCCTAACTATACCAATCCTCAGTGCAAACTGCCACAGCCAGTTAACTTTGCATTTTCACATCTCTGGAGGAATAAAAATATAAAATACTTTGCTATTCTCCACTCCAGGGCCATTTTGTGGCTGGGAAGTCCTTCCTTTTCACAACAGTAGGCAGGGGTAACATAAGCAGGCTGATTGTGCACAGAGAAGTCCCTCTTTCTCAGTCCATGACCCCAAACTGACTGGGGATAGCTTTTCCTTGAGGACCCAACTGTAATTCTTAATGTCAGGACAAGTACCCAGACCCCTCCCAGCTTCTTTTCCAGCATACCAAAGTCAGAAATTTGCTGATCCTTCTGCCCTCTTCCCTGGTCCTGCCCCACATACATTTAGACAGGCATTTGCCCCTGCAGATCTCAAGGTGGCATCCTTGTGCCTTCATTTCCTTTTACTGTGCGTGACTTTGATTTCTTCCTTTTCTATGTACAAAGCTCTCTTTAAAGTAAGAGGTCTTTGGGAGCAGAGATATATCTCTGATTCGAGCAATATCATGAGGTTCCAATGAAGAATCTTATAATCAATATTTTTTATGTATCCCACACCTGGAGAGACCGAAGATCTCCTACTAAAGTAGACATAAGAAACTGTAGCCTCATACTGTGGGGAGAGAAGTCTGATTATGAAAGGGCTCTGAAGTTTCGTTGATGAACTTCGTTTCTTCTCCATTGCTTGTTATTATCACGTGAATGTTGCATGTAGGCTCCAACCTAACACAATTTTCATTCTTTCTGCAGCACCTGAAATTCTTAGAGGCTGTGCCTATGGACCGGAGGTGGACATGTGGTCTGTAGGAATAATTACCTACATCTTGTAAGTGAAGACAAGCAATCTTTATGCAAGCTGTTGCCTTTGTGTAACATTTTCTAGGTACCTATAGTTCTCATAAGAACCGAGATGATTATTGTGATTTTCTGTTCATACTAAATATAGTTGGTGATAGAATTTTTCTCAAAATGAATTTTTTTTTTTCTTTTGTAATTTTCTTGGGACCAGAACCTCTTCCCAGGGCTTTTCTATATCTCATTTTTGCTATGCAATGTTTAGCAGATTTGGGAAACAATTCATTTTTTGATGACCATATAAAATGTGAAATCCAAGTCCACCTACTATACTTTCTCTTGTTTTATTTTATTGGCCATCTTGTCTAAAACAATTAGGCCTTTAGTCCTTTTAAGAGAGCAAAGGGCTATTTTTTATGCAATCCCAAATTGGTATATTTTTTATCAGAATATTTTAAATGCATCTTCATTATCAATTTTGTTTCCTTTTTCAAACTAACCCTACACAGTTTTCTCTGGGAAGAAACAAATGAGCTAAATATTTCACCCTCTGGTATCTCCAACTCCATTATAGGTCAACTGTCTAATAAAAAATAAGGAATTTTGGAAAATTTATCAAAATGATGATGGAATTACAGGCAATGACAAGGGAAGTCATAAACCAAATAGAGGTTTGGCTGGAAAGCAAGATTTCCTTAGAAAAACTGAAAAGCAAGATGTCAGTAAGCACATGTATTTGCCATTTAGATGGTAATGCATAATTAATATTTGGAACCCATATTGTTCAAATCTGGAAAGAGATTTTTGAGGGTTTGAAAGAAAGTGTATTTATCTTCCCTCTCCTTTCATGCTGGGGATCCAACCGTGGACCTCAAGAATTCTACCATTGAATTATGATCCCAGCCCAAAATTTATTAGTCTTGTTCAGGCTGCCATATAGAGTGGGTGACTTCAACAACAGACATTTATTTTCTCACATCTGGAGGCTTGAAGTCTGAAATCAGGGTGCAGCCTGGCTGAGTTCTGGTGAGGGGGATCTCTTCCTGGTTTGCAGAAAACTCCCTTGTCAGCATGTCCTCACACAGCAGGGGTGGGAGGGAAGTGCACAAACTCTGTGGTCTTTTCTCATAAATGCACTAACCTTATCATGACCTTCATGACTTCCCTAAACCCAATTACCTTCCAAAGGCCCCATCCCCAAATACCATCATATTAGAAGTTACAGCTTCAACTTGTAAATTTGGAGTGGGGAAGAACATATCAGTCCATAGCAGAAATTTGTTGTTAGTTTTGTTTTTAATAGTGATCTTAGAGAGTGCAATGTATAGGTCATGTGAGCTAGGAATAATTGGAACAGAATGTCATAATTGAAACAGAACTTCCAGGCAAGTTAGCAGACTCTACGTTCACCCAGGTGGGTACATTGGTTGATAGCCCAGATAAAAAGGTTTAAAAATCAACCCATAAAATAGCATCTGCTAATACATAATCGCAAAAGATATTTTCAATATTTAATTTCCTGTGTTTCTAGAAATGTGTTAAAGCTTGAGAATTTGAAGAGGTAGTGAACCATATTTTTTCTTCTGTTTGTCACATGAAATGCTTAACTCATTAAAATAAATACCTGACTCTACTTTGAGATTTCTTTTATACTAGAGAAAGAATATTATCCCTGAATTATGCAGGAAATATATCATACTTCATATACACATTTGAATTTCACATTAAGTGTAAAACCAAACCTTACAAATAAGGATTAAGGTTTGGTTTCACACTTAGAGTGTGAATGAAGTGGAAATGTACCTTATGACAATCCGTGTCAAAATGTACTAGGAAGATTTGAAGCATTGATAGTATAAGAGAACTTTGAGAGATGGAAGGAGGAAATTAAGTTACATGCACCCTGAAAGATGGAAGTATGGATTGAAGAAAATTCCATGGAATGGGTCACTGACATAGGAACATAAAAGAGAAAATGCAATCATTGGAGAAACATTTTATTATGACCTGGAAGATAATATTTTCCTGTCAAACTCCTTTTCCTTAGTCCATTGCCAAATTATACAAATAAGTCTTTATATTTATTCTCTGTAGGTTATTAATTAACAGGAATTTATTGAAAGTGAAAGTAGTGGCTCCAAAAATGAACACAGAGATGCTGCTTTGAACTAATATGGAACTAAAGTTTCACACTAATTTCTGTCATCCTGTAAACCTGGGGACCTCTTGCTTAATCTGTAGTTCATTAATAATTGATGAAATCCACCTGGCAAGGTTCATGGGCAGATTTTTTCCTAAACTCAGTGGCCTATTGATGGCCTGAGATTGTGCCCTCTAGACACCTGTCTCATTGCACCAAGTGACCTAGAATCAAAGGGGAGCGAAGTACAGAAATTACCAAAGGAAGAATTCGAGCTGATGACTTTTTGCTGATGCTTCCTGGGAAAGTAAATGTTATGACAGAGTTACATTACGAGCCTCAGTTAAATCCTTTCTTCATCTCCCAAATGTTGAGGTATCTGTTCTACATCTACTTGTCTGTGTGTACATAAATTCTGGTGCTTATCTTTGAATAAAGCCATGAATAGAAGTTTGATTCTTACTATAGATATAAATACCTCTGTTCCCCTTGCCCCCCTCATCTATGACTTCTACATTTTAACACTTTACTCTCTCCTTAAAAGCTCTAGCTTGTCCCCAACAGGCCATTTTGTGCCATGGCCCATTTCTAAAGATGAGGTTAAGTTAGAAACAAAGGCCATTCTGTTGTTTCTCCCAGGAATTCTGGTCTTTCTTTAGAGCTGCAGGACTGGGCCTTTGACTACTGCAGCAGTCATACCAGAATCACATAGCATCTGAAGTTCAAACCCTCTCCTTCAGTTTTAACACTATGGTTCTTCCCAAAGGCCTGGGACTTCCCTGTATAAACAGGCCTATATCCTCCCAGCATCTCCTTCAACTGTCATTGTTGGAATTAAAGTATTACCAGTTCTGAAAGGTTTGTGCACTGTGTGTGTGTTTGCTACTGTTGACATAATTGAGATGGGAAAAAAAGTATTCAAGCACTCTAGCTTATCACTTTTGTTCTCAGAATTTTCAGAAGGGGAAATGCAAGGAGCTTCCTTAACTGAGTGTGGAAAGCTGGCTAATTTCTCCACAATTAGCAACACTTTTCTAGTGTTGTGGAGGGATGGGAGGGCCAGACAAGGACGACTTTCCTCTTCTCCAGGGATGGACAAGCATCCCTCTGTCTTTATGCTTTCCTTCCATAGGTAAGTCAGGAGCAGCCTGAAGCAGCAGCGGGGAAGAGAATGTGGCTGACTCTAGGATATTTGGAGGAAACAAAGACTCTCCCAATGAGTAAAAGAACACAAGAAAATACTTCTTCATAGAAACCCATCATTTCAGGATACACTTGAATTTTTCATCCCCTGCACCAACCTAGCCAGCACGAAAGGAATAATTTGAGAAGACGTCTTTTATTCATTATTTTATCCCCAATCTTTTCAAAAGAAACATATGCAACACATGGGCTCATTTTGACAGTTCCCCTCTTGTCCCAGTGATTTCAGAACCCCCACCTGTCTCTAGGCAGTAGAGAATTGGCAACTTGCTTTTCTTCTCACCCTCTCTTTAGGATGCCAGAAATGTTCTTCTGTTCCTTTTTGTCCCACTTTTCTTATTCATTTTTATGCTGATCCTGTGGTGGAAAGTAAAGATGAATATAGGTGGAATATCTTTAAGATGTATGAAAGAAAGGGTCACTTGCAAGGATGAGGCAAATTTAGGCTGTTTGTTGACTGCATCTAGTCACTGAATTAAGTCTTTTTTCCAGCACTGGGGATTGAACCCAGGAAGGGTCCTCTACCATTGAGCTACATCCCCAGCCCCCTTCTCTCTCTCTCTCTCCCTCCCTCTCTCTCTCTCTCTCTCTCTCTCTCTCTCCTTTTTTTTTCCCCTTAATTTTGATACAGGTTCTGTCTAAGTTGCCAAAACTGACCTTGAACTTGTGTTCCTTCTGCCTCAGGCTCCTAAGTCAATGTCATTACCAGCACAAGCCACCATGCCTGATGGATCGTACATTTCTATAAAGGAATTCAGTGAATAGAGATGAATTTAAAAAAAAATAAAACTCTTATTTCCATTTTTTAACCTCTTTACTCTCAAAATTCTAACTCTTCCATTTTATACTAAATGGGAACTCTAATCAACCTGTCTTAATTCTCATGAAGAAAAAAATCATGGAAAAATCTTTACCATAGTGCTTATAATAATGTATGCTATTGTTATTGCTGTTCTTTTTATGTCATCATAATAATTATTATATTTTTTTCAGAAATTCTACTCACTATTCTTACTTCCTTGAGATGTGACTGTGTTTTTACACTATTGATCATGAATTGTAACAAGGCAATTATATACTTGTGCTGAGTAGACTTGCTTTTGTGTATTATTTCTAAAGGAGGTCTTGAATTTCTGTAGAAATTTGATGAAATATAGTCTTTTAAAGATACTTTATTTCCTATATTTTTCCCCCTCTAGACTTTGTGGATTTGAACCATTCTATGATGAAAGAGGTGATCAGTTCATGTTCAGGAGAATTCTGAACTGCGAATATTACTTTATCTCCCCCTGGTGGGATGAAGTATCTCTAAATGCCAAGGACTTGGTAAGTGTGACCAAAACAAAATGAAACACAATGGAATAAATTCATATTTAACTAATTAATGGACATTTTAAAAATTATGCTCTAATTAATAATTAGTGGTTAATTAATTCCCCCAGTCTTTTCAAAGGCTATATATATATATATATATATATATATATATATATATATATATATTACTATTATACACCCTGATGTGGATTCCTTTTGTAGTCCCTTTTTTGTCCCCTCTGACTTCAAAACCTCCACCTGACTCTTGACAGCAGTAGCATTAATGCATTTTTCTTATAGATAATGAAAGGTAGATATGTTTTTGACTCATCATTAGCTAAATTATCACAAACTACAATTGTTATTGTATTAATTAATGAGTTTCTACCACCTGACAAATGAAGAGACTTGCTTATGACAAAAACTGTGCTAGGTAAATCCAAACATAGTTTACACAAAATTCTGTTTTAACATGGCTTATTATTACCTAGATTTAGATAGAATTCATATAAAATAATGTCACTTCCTGAAATTTCATCCAAACTTATTAAAATATCCTGGCAGTAATACAAGTTCTTCCTTTATGGATCCTTGACATAGAGTCATGAAGTAGTAATAGTGTATTTTGTTTCTTTTACACTGCTTTTCACATAAGCTAATATAGAAGCTCATTTGCATTCAGGAAACACTCTCTTTGGAGGGGTCCTCCTCTTTTAAAAAGATGATACTAATATGTGGTTAAAACATTTATCATCAATGATCTAGGGGAAAACCACACAGAAATAACCAAAAGCTGACTTTTGAATCATAGAGGGTTGAGAGGGATCTTGGGAGTCATCTGATTTTTCCCTCATTTTAAAGATGAATGTGCTAAAGATCAGAAAATTGAAGGGACAGGGGCTGGGGATATACTCAGTTGGTAGAGGGCTTGCCTCACATTCACAAGGCCCTGGGTTCAATTCCCTGCACAAAAAAAAAAAAAAAAAAAAAAAAAGAAAGAAAGAAAAAGAAAAGAAAATTGAAGGCACAGCCAAAGATCATACATCTTGCTAATAGGAGAACATTATTAAAACTGACTACAGTTTCCAGACCCCTGTTCCAGGACTTTTCCTCCATCAAACATTTCTTCCTTTTACTTTATGTTATTTCATGGAACAGATCACTTAGGGCCCATGGCTTTTCCGGCATGACTGGGAAGAGGAGCGCTGTGTGTGGCATGTGAGGATTTTGCACCACACTCCAGACATCTCTTACATCCATCACTTTTCTCCATCTCTGCTACCACTATCCCAATCCAAGACACCATCCTGTAGGACCTGGACCACAACCTCCTCTCTGGTCTCCCTGCCTCTTCCTGTGCCCTTCTTAAATACACTCCACACAGGATGTGGAAGTCTCTGCTCTGGACAAATCCAGTGTCTCCAACCCAAATACACAGTCCTTTATAAATGTTACAGAAAAGACTGAAAGGCAAACCAGATATTATTTATTCCTTATTTTACTTGCTGCTTGATTTTGTTGGCCTGGGTTCACTTCTTCATCCAAAGCCCCTCATTTCTTACCAGGCCAAAGTCCAGAGAGATTGACTCCCTTGGAGACATTATGATGGACTTGAGATGAATGCTGACATAATACAGACCTCAGTTTAAATCCAAGCTCTACTAATTAAAAATTGTCTAACCTTAGGCAAGTACTAAATTTGAGTTTGTTAATCCCTCGCTTGAGAACTGGAGCTAGTAACTCTAAGTATACCTTAATTCTAAAGATTATTAGTTTTTTTTAATTATATGCATATAATAACGCATAAACTAGGGAATTAAGGTGTTAATCAGATCCAGTCATGTAAGAAAAGGACCTAGGGAAGTGTCCATAGGCACCCACTTTGTGTCTATGTCTAGGTCTCAAAAGTAGAAACATAATCAGAACTTTCACACATCTTTTGACTTCAAATAGACTATCATATCAGATCACTCCTTCTGAGTCCAAGGCTTGGAACTATTTTATTTGTTGATCTTCTTGGCAATTTATTGCCTGTCATTCTGAGAAGCAGAAATGGACCTTTCAGAACAGGTTGCCTTTGGTTGAGTTTAACCCTTTAAGCAAATCATACCCCAACGCCAGTGACTTTTTTGATTCTAAAATGACTTTTACTCTAGCTGTGTGCTGGAGCACCCTCCGGAGATTAAAGAAAAAGAACTACACATCCCAGGAGTATCATAAAATAGTATCATAAAATAGTTGGACTATTGCCCCTTTTGTTTGCCATTTAATCTCCATGGAAAGAATGATGATGCATGAATGATTCTGTTGCCATGGAGATGTATTTTAAGTTCTGAATTCTAGGTGATTCTGAAGTACAGCTTAGAATGATTCAAATGCTGGTTTTACCTTCAAAGAATCAGAGGCAAGCAGGACCTGTTTCTTTGACCTTTGCTCAAAAGCAGTCTGCCGCTTGGGGGACAGGTTTCAGTAGGGTCCCAATATCATCTACTGCTACCTGCAGTAGTTCCTGCCCACTGGGTCCCCTGAGGGCTTATACCCTTTTTAAAAATGTATAATTAGTGCTACTGCTCAGAAAATAGAACAAGACCTAGAAGTTCACAAGCTAGGGGCATGTTCAAGCCACCATAAAAGTTTCCTTAAATCTGTTTCTTTATCATTTCAGGTCAGAAAATTAATTATTTTGGATCCTAAAAAACGGCTGACTACCTTTCAAGCTCTCCAGCACCCATGGGTAACAGGTAAAGCAGCCAATTTTGTACACATGGATACTGCTCAAAAGAAGCTCCAGGAGTTCAATGCTCGACGCAAACTTAAGGTAAAATGACATTTTTTTCTTTTGTTTTTTTAAAAAAAATATTGGGGCTGTGGTTGCCTAAGCACGTGTGAGGCACTGGGTTTGATCTTCAGCAATACATGATAAATAGATAAATAATAAATAAATAAATGTATAAAAATACAGTAACATTATTTAAAAAGATTATGCCTCTTTCTAGGACTAGTAACCATTTTCAGTGGCACCAGTGGCACCCAACAGTGCTGACATTAAACTACTTCCAGTTTCTTTATCTTCTCATAAATTCATCATTAATAGTAGGAAAAAGTTTTTTTATACTGAAATTTGGTCACCAAATACACTATTGCTGCTTCTCATCTAATTAAGGCTTATCAATTGGAACAGCATTTTTCAAGAAACTGATGTTTATTCAGGAAGTTGTTTCCTTCCTGAATATGTGAAAACTGGAAAATAATTTTTGAAACTATACTTCATAATATAAATAACTATACTTGATAAACATTGACATGATTGAAATTAGAAATTATTCATCAAAATGTGCCCATTTCCTATGGAACACTTATAAAACAAAGACTATATACTTTTCTATGACATAATGGTATTTAGAACTAGTTATAGAAGGGGATCTCCAAACTTAGGGTTCTCTTCAACCTTTTTTTACTGGCTCATATAGATTAAATAAACTGAAGGGCCAAATTAATTTGAAATACCCTGGATTAGTGTTGATGTAATATGGATCCTAGTGTTCCAGGAAACAAATACTTTGGGAAACAATCTAAAATTTTATATGAGTCATCAGTTATCCAGATTATGAAATACTCTAATTTGAGATTAGAGAGATTTTGTTGTTCATTCTGCAAACAAGTTTTCATCCAATGGTGTTAGAATAACATACTTTGAAAGACTGAACACTAACTTATAAAATATACTCCCTAAAAACAAAGTAGGGGTTTAGCTCTGATTTGGGATTTTAAGTGGAGGTGACATCTGATGCCTTTCTGTCTCCAACCAGGCAGCCGTGAAGGCTGTGGTGGCTTCTTCACGCTTGGGAAGTGCCAGCAGCAGCCATGGCAACATCCAGGAGAGCCAGAAGACTAGCCAAGAACCTTCTCCAATCCAAAGCAGCAGCGAGAACATCAAAGCTATGCCAGAAGTAGAGAACACCCAAGGAGATGGGCCCCAAGTGGCCGTTGAGGGTGAAAAGGCTGAGCTGATGAAGGTGCAGTCCTTAGAGGAGGTGAAAGATGAAGATATAAATGCTGAGGAAGTCCCCATGATGGAGCCCGATGCTCTGGAGGACGAGATAAAGATTGCTGACCCAGAAATGGAGGAGAGCCCAGTGGAAGAGAAACTGAAGACTGTGGAGGAAGCAGCAGACCCCAGAGAAGGGCAGGAAAACCCTGCTGTGGGACTTGGAGTTCCACAACAAGATGTGATCTTGCCAGAGTACTAAGTTGACTTCCTTTAGATCCAGAAGTCAAACTCTGGCATTTTATGTGCTTTGTCCTTCAGCAAGGAAGGGTGTGGAAGCATGATATGCACTAATAGTGATTCTGTTTTTGAGGTGCAAAAAAAAATACATATATACAAGTTGGTAATCCTAACTTCAATGCATGTGACTGCTTTATGAAAATAATAGTGTTTTCTATGGCATGTAATGGATACCTAGTACTGATGAGTTAAATTTGAAATTGCAAGTAAACACAACCCTTAAAAACACCCATTTTCAGCAACCAGTGGCAGACATTTTAAGTAAATAGTAGCAAATTAATTTTCCTTTGAAAACCTAGCCATCCTACATCCTTTGGTTTTCTTCACAAGGCAGTAATTCCTTTGAACTGCTTCTCAGATAATACTAGGAGATGCTATAAAATATATTTCCATGGCCTTCCCAATATTTATTTTTCAGCATTAATGTGTTCAAAACTGTTTACAAGGAAATGGATATATAAGTGATAGTCATACAGAATGTGCAAAAAATTCCATTTACAATGGTAAGAAATTGAAGCATACTTATAAGGGCCATGAACTCATATGCCCCTAAAGTTTATGTGGAGAATGTCCTCTTACTTATATACACCATATCAAAAAAAATCAAAATGTTATTAATAATTAATTCTGCCATTAATTCTGACATTTTAACAATCCTAGAGAAAGTATTTTACACACACATGATGAATTTCATTCTTCCCTTCACCTATTATCCAATAAGATGCTCTTCACGTAGAGAAAATTAAGGAAGAATTAAGAAAATTAAAGAAGAATAAAGAATAAAGAAAATCAGGGAAGGAAAGGGGTAACATAGAATTAATTCATTTTCATTTTCAAATAAAATTCATGAATTTATAAAACCTATAGATAGAAACATTTTTATGGATAAATCTATAATTACAAAGTTTCAAATATTTAGAAAAAAACTATTCCACAAATTGGTGACAAAATGTCTGAATAGAGTAGATCATTCATTATTGACTTTACTAGAAAAAGACAATTATTGTATATAAAAACTTTCCCCTCCAATTGACAATGTCTAGATAAATTCTTTATAAGATTAAAGATACTTATGAAATATAGTATATCTTTTTCTCACACTTGGAATGAAAGTGCCCACATTTTGGAATGTAGCGAAAAAGTTTTTCATGTCAAGAAATTTAGTGCACAAATTTTTATTTGCCTTAAAAAGTGAACAAAAATGAAGAAAACACCGATTTCAAATCATACTCTTGAGAAGCTAGAATCTAATATTTTATTATAATTTGTATCTCCAGTGTATTTTTCTCCGACTTTAATAGCAGAACCATTTTTCCCTTAAAGAAATTACACTGAGTCCAAGTACCTCGAATTTATTTCTAGTTTGAGTTGAAATTAATATTTTACCAAAATCTTGCATAATGTAATATAATACATTTGTGGTGGGTTTTAATAATTTTAAAAAGAATAATTTTCAAAGTCCGAAATGAAAACCATAAAAATGACCAGCATATAAAAATTCTCATAAAATAAAGAGATCTTAATTTCTTTTGGCTCCTCCTCAAAACCATTACTTTGGAAAACAAAGTCTCTGTGGCTACTGGAGGTTATTGGATCTCAGTGTACATTTTGCATTCCAAGCACAAATCTCCTATTCTCAGAGAAAGGAAATAAGGTAAGGCTTCTGGTATTCCATAGTTTAGGGATCTGATAGGTCACAGCCATAGAGGAAAAGACTCTGAAGAAGCACATAATCTGAGATCAGATGATTATTTTTTTTGTTTTATTTTTATTAATAGTACTTGTCCTCTTCTTCCCTCTTTTATTCCCTCTTAGAATTAAAATTTTGGTTGTTATAAAGGGCTCACTTTTTAACTTGCAAGAATGCCTTCTTCATTAAGCATTAAGATTTCCATTTAAGAAGAGTAATTTCCTGGTAAACTTTTCCCCGTGAGAGTGTGTGTGTGTGTGTGTGTGTGTGAAGTGTTCCATTCGTCAAAAGAGGAAATAGGAGAGGGAAATGGGGTTCTATTAGAGAACAGCAATTAGTTGGAAGATCAGACCATATCATCCCTCCCATCTGGCGTTCCAAGGGCAGGTTATATCATTCCAACACTGGGGCTGACTGGATCAGTTGGCCCTGTGGATTATAGAAACAGCATTACCATTGCCACAGCCACACAGTGAGTTTCAGAGTGAATTTAACCATTTTTAACCATTTAAATGATTGTACATGACCTTCCTTGGTGAGTACTCAAGAACATGAAGGTAATTCCCTCTTTTTAAATCTGTAAACTGCATCTTCTAAAATATTGATGGAGATTTTAGATTTTTACTCCATATGTTAAGTCCTGATAATGCCCATATAGTGACTAATGAAGTCGTTTCAGTGGGAAACAAGTCAATCTTTCACAGAAATGTTCATTTCAGTAAAGTAATTCAGATTTCACAGAAATAAAATCTAAGCTAGCATCATAATGTTATCATTTTTGAAAGAACATTGCTTGTTAAAATGGGATACATTGTCTATCGCAAGGATGATTTAGCTAAATAACAGGCAAATAGAGACTTAATTTGAAAAAATTCATAAGGTTACTTCTGACAATGTAGTCTCAAAGCAAGATAGTTTTAAAAATTTCAGCAAATAACAATATTTTGCATTTTAGAACTGACAATTATCACATTGCATTATTGGTTTCTATTTTGAGAAGTTCAGATGCATAGTATAAACTACATTATTTTACCATAAGAGTCAATACTGAACTACATCCCCCATTTAAAAAATCTAAAAAAACCCATTTAAAAAACCCAGTATTTTCTTTCAAAATATTAAGGAAACATTTGTCCAGGGACACATGGACTAGAAATTATAATAAGATGGTTGTAGCATTTACTATATAGAACAAGAGCTGTCTTGTAATAAAGCCACTTATGTAATTTTAAATTTCCTATTAGTTACATTTAAAAAAATTAAAAGATGAAATTATAGTATCTTTTAACCTAATATATCAAATTTGTTACATCAATATATAACCAAAAAATAATGAAACATTTTGGATTGCTTATTTTTATACTAAGTTTTTGAAATTGAGTGTATATCATATCTTTAGTATATCAAGCAGTCAAAACCCACATGTAGCTCATGGCTATTGCATATGGCACTGGTCTAGAGTACTTTTTTATTTTAAGCAAAGTGACACTTGAACTTTTATGCTTATGTCTGAGCTGCCTCAGTTTCAATTCATGAATTGAAGAGAGGCCAAGAAGAAAATATTTCAGAAATATTGTAGACTGCAACAAGCAAAAAGCTATTGGCTATTCCCACCCATTCATATGGTTTGATGAAATGTTTCCTAGCACAACTTCAAAGAAAAGCACTTTCCTGAGCATTGCCAAGTAATCTCTTTGCCACAGTTCCTCTTGATTTTTCTCTGGGCCCTGTAATCCTAACTACAGACTAGAGCCTCTTGAGTACTGCCATAAAGCCAACAGTATTCCTGCTTACCAGTGTCTGCTGTGGGTCCACTATGTGTCCCCATTGAGAAAGGACTACACACAGAATCCAATTTGCAATTCTGAACCAGTATACCATTCTTGTGTCACAGGCAATATATCTTTCTAGAAATCTACTGAAACTTATAAATTAGCATGATGAAGACTGTATGAGAATGGTGATATCACGTCAGTTACCCTGAAATGACTATTGGTTCTCATTTTTTACACGTCGTTAGAAGGGTTTAATCAACACTGCCATTACACATGGATTTTAAAAATAGACTTAGAAATTTTTTAAATACTGATTTTAGAATAATCAAGTTTCTATAGTCATTTTTAGTGGCAGACTTTAAAAGACATGAAGTTTGCCTTTTACTGTGACCTCAATTACATAGTATTTTAAACATATTTTGTAATTTAGAATGTTTAGCAATGCCTATTTCCAGTTTCACATACAAGGTGACTGATCGTGGGTTGCCTACAGGCTGAAAATTTAAAGAGGGCTGTTTTGTTTCATAATCTAGTTTTTATTGCACAGAAGCAGCTGGTTGCATTTCAAATTGGAAAAAGAAAAGTAAATGCCAGAAAAGGCAAAGGATAAAATTAGTAAACCATTTATTCTGTTTTGGGTTGTTCTTGCAAAGTCAATTTAAAAAAAAATTTAAAAAGAGGTCAACAAAGTGAATTAACACTAGGATTTTCTTGATGAAGGTGGACCTAATATATAATTGACAAAATATACAGAATGGAGACACTTGCATAATTACAATGCCATTATGTAATTTATTTGTCATTGCAGAGTATACTGTCTGGTTATCTAGGTCTACTAGGGAGGATGCAAAGTCTGTAGGCATTTACTTATGTAATAGGATTTGTAATATCCTTGTAATTACTGCCTATTAGGTCATATTCCAATTTCCTTAATGATCAGCAGTGAAATGCTCCTGTTCAGGGTCATTGCTAAATTTGAGCATTTATTGGTTGAACACTGCTTAATGTTTAGACTCTGTGTGTATATGCAATATTTTTGAAACAAAACATAGACATGTAATTTCAACATTGGTATTATAATATTCATAACAATTTGATAAATAGAAATGTACCCAATAATTTTCTATACAAATTTCTAAGTCCTTTTATTCCCCTGAAACATTCAGGGTGAGTTTCCAGTACCTTGACAAACAGAAAAGAGAGGAGAGACAATCCAATAAAAACCAAGTTCAACATATCCTCTTCCTATACTTTAAAATTTTTAAGGGCAAGATTTTGTTGTCATTATATTAATTTTTGTGAATATCATGAGCTCATATAATATGTCATTCCAATCATTTTCATACTTATCTTTGGGAGCAAAAATAAATATGATTAATTTATATCAGGTTAAAATTTAAGATTTTCATAAATGATCTGTGATATTCTAGTTGATCTGATTGCACAATTTTAGCTTTCTTCCTGATTCAGTTCCCTATCATCTGGCCCAGAGGTACCCTTAGAGCAAGATAGAAGCCTTGTCAGAAAATCAGACTACCTAAGAACCTTGCAAGAATCAGATGCTACTCCAGAGAGGATTCAAAGCAGCCACCTGGTTGAGCTGAAATTAGCCAAGTGAGAGAAAGCCACTTCCCACATTCTGACTGAAACTTTGAAAGTGGTTTGTTTCAATATTAGTATATTTCCATTGACCAATAATGGCACAAGATTCCACCAGTTGTTGACTCTTTCCTTGTCTTGGTTTGCTACAATTAATCCCAAATCAATGTTTTATTTCATCCTTGTAGCCATCAGGCTCATTGTATAGGGTTGTGAGGTCCTCTAAAAGCCCTTGTGGGAGCATCCCAGACTAGCTGGAGAAACATGGATCCAGAATTTAGTTTGAATCTCTCAACAACAAGATTAAGACTTAAAAATCACCTTGTCTTTCTAAATAGTTGTTTTCAGTGCATTTTAAGATTGACCCGGAAAATCCATAGATATGGAATATTTGTGTCCAATCTGATCTTTGCTATGATTCATTGTGTTAATAATGCAGATATTTAATCTTTGATCAGACTGAATAATCCTTACTTTCCTTTCAAAAGACTATTACAAGCTACTCAAATACACTAGACTTTACATTAGATTTTTTTGAAAGCTATTGTTTTCCTTAAGCTCTCCCCTATTCTAACAATCAGTTTCAAATGATAAAAATTTACTAGGTTTGCCCTTTCTTTATTTTTTCCTTGATACATGGGCAATAGTCCATCTGTTTTGCAAAATGTAAGTATAGTCATACTTGAAAACTATCATCTCATAATGGCCTCCATTTAACCTAACCTATTTAACACACCCACAATACAGTTCATATACCATGGCATAAACTATAAATAGCATATTTATTATTTTTTCTTTTCATGGCACCATTAGTCTCAGTATTATTTTCATAGTTATCTGTAAGCAAAAAAATGTTCTAATAATTAAAAAAATGTTCCATTCATTAATAGTTAGGTCAAAATGACTTAATAGTTTTTCATTCTATGTCCAACAGATGTTGCTTTTTCTCTCAATTTTTTTAAAATGCCTTATGAATTCAGTTAGTGGGGACAGCTGACTTCTGGTTTAAGTAATTCCTTATGACCAGGAACTAAGAATATAGGCAAAAGGGATTGTTAATAAGAGTCAGGGGCTGGTGTTTATATTCTTAGTTGTCTGAATGCCAATCATTCTTTTAGCTCTTTTATTAATGGAAATACAACTTACATATTTGAGATATACATTTAAAAACTTACATACATTTTACAGAATCAACTTCCACATAATTTTTCCAGGAATTAAATTGAAATCTCCAAAGAAGAGTTTTCAGGAGTCACTGTGGTTCACAGAGCAAATCTTTCAAAGGCTGTTTTCATTGGAACATATCCAAACTATTGTTTGTGGCTATTTTCATACAATCAGGGGAAAGTTGAGTATTTTAAAAAATGACTGTACAACCCACAAAGCCTAAAATGTTTGTTTGGCTATTTGGTCCTTTACAGGAAAAAAAAAAGATTAAAACAAAATTGATGGCCCTGGTTTTTCACAGCAACACCCCATGCTTTTTGATGGCCTCTAGGAATGCAGTTTTTTGTACTGTAGTTCCTCATCCCCCTTAGCTTAAGGTTCTGATTCTCATTTGCTTCGTCAGAACTTAGGTGAGTTTTGTTTGATGTTGTAGTCAGTCTCACAACAACTGCTAGACATAAGACAGTGAAATTTCTCAACAAAATTGAAAATTCAAAATTTCATCATTTCCCAAAAAAGAAATTTATACGAATGGAGTTCGCTGAGAGTGGAAGTTAAGATTTCTGGTACTTTGAGTGTGCTTTAGAAACTTGATCCTTATATTTAAAAATCATATAAATACCTTAATAC